GCATCTCTTTATATAAAACATGACTTCTTCTTTTTTTTAAAGGTTCCCTATTGCTACCAGTGACTGGTGGATCTGGTCTTAATATATGTCTGTTAGTTTTTATGTAATAATTTCTACTATTTCCAATACTTATTGTTGCTGTACTCTGATATTCCATCTCAGTATGGTTGGTTGTTTCCTTTCTATGAATCTTGTATCTCTGTTTTTCTTTTTTTTAGTAAGATCATCCAGTATATCTGATTCATATGAATTGTTTGAGTTAATAGACATTTTACATTGTTGCTGATAGTGATTTTTCGCACTTTGTATTAGTCTTTGATTCTCAATAATGATGTTACTGAAATACCTCTTTCAAGTCTTTCTTATTTTCAAAGTATACTGTATTACTGCATAATCTTCTAGTGTTAGAGTAATTTTATTCCTTGATATGTAAAAGGCTTTCATTTTTATCTGACTAAATAATTCAGATATCAGTTCTATAGATCTTCCCTTTACCTCATACAGTCTTAAAAAGTGATGCTTTTTTTCTTTAAGTATTTGGGTTACTTCTTGATCATCAAGCTCTTTTTTACTATTACTGACCTTACTTGATTGGCTTTAATCTTGAGTACCCAATGTTGTTTCAATTTGGCATGCTCACAATATGCAAAAAGATGGATTCTAAATCTTTTTTGGTGAAAAGCCATATGATATTCATTAATATTGACTATTTCTCCATATTCTTCCATCATCTTTCTGATTGATTGTTTATTATATTTGTGTTTTGTATTTATTAATGTAATATACTTTGATATGTTTTTTGCTGAAGAAAAGCTTTCTGACTTGAATCTTTGTTTAGAGCATATTTTTGAAAGACTGAATATATGCTCCTATCTTGATCCATTCTCTTAATAGAGAAGTTTTCTTCTTATTTTTTATTAATTGATTCTAAATATCATGCTATATTCTCTTTTTCATCAATATCAAAAGTTATTCAGTAGTTGTCATTGATGAATTCAGTCTTGAAGGGATTTTGTCTCTTAAGAATACTTAGAGTTTCTTTGAGATATTTGATTCCTTCTTTTTTGTTATTTCTTGATAGTGTAACTTGAAGTACTTCCAATTTAATTATACCTGTTTGTTTGATAAAATAGGAATTGACTGTGGGACCTTGTATTCTGTTGCATGTATTATAAGAAACATTCTTTGTAATACAGGTTCCTTGAACTGTTTCCTTAATTGCTTCTGTTTCTATCAATTCTGATATATTCTGGTCTTCCATTTTAATTTCTTTAATTGGTTGGATTTCCTCAGTTTCCATAGAAGTTGATTTAATATCTATTGGAATGTTATTTATTCTTTTGGATTTTTTCACATCATGACTTGCGGTATAATTTCTTGCTTTGTTTATTAAGATGTTACACACCTTTTATTCAAGCATAGGAGCTTCAAGGTCTTGTTTCTTGCCTTGTCCCTTTTTCCACAGAGTGAGAATATATTTTCTTAGCATTTTTCTTTTGCCAAGATTTCAGGGTCTATATTAAATAGAATGGCTAAGATATTGTCTAATATTAAGATCATATGAATTGCTTCTACTGGAATATGTGGTTGGTCTCCTGTCATTTGTCCTAACTTATATTGTAGCATTTTTGTTTTCCAAAGTTTTTGTTAACAATTATAGCTAGTAGCAATATTTCCTAATACTCTAAAGATTTTTTGCTCATATCTTTTCAAGAATTCTAATAATATTTTACTTTTTTTGAGTCATATTGTCACATGAGACAGATAAACTATTATGTGTATTAGATTGTTTTGTTGTTTTGTTGTTTTTCTTCACGCTAATCTATAAATAAGGTATTATATTAGATTATGTAATTGAATAATCTATACCAATATATTATTTCTTCATGTATTTCAGTTTTAGTACTAATCCTGTTTATCTATATATGTATTAATTGTTTATTGCTCTTGATATGATCTGATTGACACATATTACTTCTTTGTAATGTATTGATGTGTTTTGAGTTGTTGTTTTGTCACGACTAGATCATATTTACTTTTACATATTCATATTCGCATGATGCGAGTTTGATAGATCAATTATGTGATTGTTTACTACTAATCTTTATTGTTTAACCCAAGAGATCTGAACATCCTTCTAGGTTTTTGAAGTCCTGACTTTGAACTGATTTATCAGTTTGGATTATTGCTTCTGAAACTTCTCTTAGTGCCTAGAAAGGTGTTAACCTGCACTGGTCTGGCTAAGAGCTCTGTGAAATTGATGTTGAATCTCAAGAAGCCTACTGTAAATCAATTTGTCCTTGATTTCTCTTATTCCTTAAGCAAAACAAGAGTATAAGGATATTGTTACTGACTAGTGTTGTCCCTTCCTTGTTGTCAAGAGTCAAGTGTATATTATAAGGAGGGGGGTTGTTGCTATTGTTATCTCTCCTTGGAGTTGTTTCTTGTGAGAAGGTTTTTTCTTTAAAAAATTATTATAAAAGGAAATTTTCTAAAATTTTGAGAATCAGCGGAAAGGGTTTTTTTTTATTTCTTATTTATTTCTTTTTTAATTAAAATTACATTAAATAAAATAAATAAAAATCCTAAAAAAGATTTTTTATAAATTTTTAAACTTTATTATTAAAGTAAATTGTTTATTCGCATACAATCAAATGTACTGTATAAGAAAGTTTTAATATGTATAGATTATGATATTGATTTTTTGGACTGGGGTCTTTTTTTTTTTTTTGAAAAAATTATTAATTTATTCTTTAATTAATCATCAATACTTTAAAATAAGAGTTTGTTACAAATTAAAGTTAATATCTTTAATATTGTCAATAAATAATCAACTGTATATACTGTATGCATAGTATATTAAAATAATTCTCATAAATATAAAAAACCATATTTCGACCCACAAAGTATTGCCGTTACACGGTAAAAATCGAACGTTTGAAATGCCTGATTAAAAAAAAAAAATTAAAAAAATGATTGTGTCTAATATGGCTATGTGAGAGCCAATTTCGAATGGGACATCGTTAAAAGTCAATGAATAGAAAAATGGAAACCAATTTGATTTTATTTTAATTTATGCAGTACACCGTACAGTACATACTGAATAGACGGTATACGTGTGCCGCACATTGCCTTCAAAAAAAAAAAATTTTTTTTTAATAACGTACACACTGCACCTTTTTATTTTATTATTATTATTATTATTATTATTGAAATATTAAAACATGCGATCGTAAGTTTAAAATTAAAATCACGCATTCATAAATAAAATGTTTTTTTTTTTTTCGTACGGTGAGGTGGTGCATGTAATATTTTCGAGATGCAAAAATATTTGGAGAGTCGGTTAACGTATTCATAGTTCTGTCTGTATGCGTTGTGTGCCACGTAGCTTCTTAATTATTACGAATACGGAAATTCCAAATGAATCAGGGAGGCAACCAACCGTCTTTATAATCAGATTTTTGATCCTGGCTGGTCGAGATCGAATCGGATTGTGTTGGCAAATGCACGAACCTGACCATGTAAAGGAATGGTCAAATATTACCATTTTCCATCATTCATTAATCCTCTGAGCAAAGCCTCATACGCCCGTAGCGATAATGTATAGAGTGCTCTCTGCCATGCAAGATAGCGCCGAGACGATTTATAAGAAACTGAGCCATAGCGAATGCAGCATGCAGGCAATAGCGCCTTATGGAGATTTATTATGCATCAAAACTGCCGCTGTAAAAATACGGTAGGAAGTTTTTTTTTGATAACAGCATATAGTTTCCATTTTCAATGTTTGGCTCGATCACAGCTTATCGCTGATAACACAATGTTCGGCAATTGCCTGAGTATTCATAGCATGATTTTATTTTTCGGGAAGACTGAGCTGACGATGACCGATTTCGGAGTGGATATTCCAGATTTCATATGATATTCCCGAAAAGAAATTTCAACACAGATGCCCATGGAAATTTACCTGGGAAGCAGAAATTACGTACGCACCAATCTCGCCTGTTGTGGAGCTTGTTCTCGGTATAAAAGATTTCGCATTTACGAAAAGAAGAAAAAAAGATCATTGAATTTGGTCTTGCTATTTCAAATAAAGCTAACAGAAAAAGCAGTTTCTCATACACCAGCATGCTGTGACAAATTCATCCCGATAATAAGCATTAGAAATATGCGTTCCCCATTTGTCGACATTGGCTGAAGGTTATTTTAACACAAAAGTTTACAATTTCGGTATTTCGTGTTGCAAACACTTGCCCATTGTTCTATGTCATGGTCGCACCACTAATCAGAGCGGCAGGAAACGAAAGCAGCAGCTTATTATTCTTTACAGTTCACCAAAAAAATCATTGTCTAAATTTTATTGTATATACTTTTGGGTATGATTCAAAAAAGCCGAAACACTCCTTTTAATTTTAGTCACACAGCCAATAAACAGATACTCCACAAACATTCCGTAATACAAATAGAACAAATTGTTCGGGCTCCTCGTGAAAAGATGTGCATTCAAACCATTCGAATGGCATGTGGTTCGAAGATATGACGTCGAATTTATTATATATACTAAATATGCAACAACTAGATTCTGGTACAGTTACAGTATACAGATACTTGATACTTATAGTACATACTTGCGTACACATACGTGCGTGTTATATCGGTTATATCATGTATGGATCTTGACCATTCTCATACTCCTTTTATTACTCCTTCCGGGTTACCAATTCTTTAAGCAAAATAAATTTTTGCCATAGTTATATTGCCGTTGCTCGATAGTTTCGAAGAAAGATGCAAAAGAAAACGTTTAAAAAGCTCTCAGTAATCCTGCTCGTCTGGATATTTTTTCCTCTTGTGTCTATGGCGACCTGTATGTTTTCTTTTGATAAAGTTTGCACACCAAGACAAAATTCTTGACAATTTATGTATGTTTAACAACCACATCTTTGTTTTTGCGACCTGTAGTTTTCGCGTATTGCACCTGTTGGACCTTTTATATTCTATATGGTATGCAACTTCAAAATCTTACTGCGCACATTGAATCTTTGCTCAAGACCACAATTTTTCCTTCTTTAGCCCAGACCGATGCGCTACCATCACAACCCTTGGTCCCATTGAATCCCAATCGAGTTTACAAGGTCACCCGATACCTACTCATTTGCTTATATGAGAATTTGACGGGCCCGCTTATTCCGTCCGTGCTTCAATATGTAAGGGACAAGTTGTCCAGTAAAAGGAGGACAATATCCGCCAAGTATGAAGAAATCAAAACCTGAGAATTATTGGTTTTAACATCATAATAACTCCTCGTCAATTTTATCATGTCCTAACAGGAAAAACGTCAAATATGGGCCGAAAGAACGCAATCGTCTTGATATCTACTATCCCGATCGGGGTTCCACCAAGGATAATTCACGTGCTGGATTTCCTGTGATCATCTTAATTAGTACTTCCTGGAATTCTGGTGAGTTTTTTCTTTAGACAAAATTAGGAAAGATATACAAAAAGAAAACAAACCTCGTCATTTCTGAGATGATCACGTGAAGAAAGCAAAATGGTTGACAATGTGTATTGGCAATAGGAAACCGCGCGACTTGTATTCCTGTGGCCGAGAATCTCATAAGCCAAAGATATGTCGTTGTGGTTCCGGACATCACCCTTTATCCAGAGGTTTTTATATCACCATTTTCGTATGTAGTTCCTTTTTAGACAGATCATCTATTTTCTTACATCGTTCTTTTAACGTAGGGAAAAATCTCGGAGATGGTTGCAGATGTTCAACAGTGCATGTTTTGGACAAGCGCCCGTATACGGTGAGGCTATTACCGTATGATCGTCATGCAGAACGTCTTGTCTAAGGCTAATTATAATTAATACATTTAATAATTTCATGCCCATCAGCCAATATCGTGGTGATCCCTCTCAAATTTATCTCATGGGGCATGCCGCGGGAGCAGTGTTGTCAGCTTTAACAGTAATTCACCATGCCTGTGCTACGTTGCGCCTCCTTCCACCCAACAACACGCGATTACATCTTCCCGTTTGGAACGAAACAGCTAAGAAGGGTAGTTTACCCAGAATTCGGGGCTTGATCTTGTAAATACACTTTTATTTTTCATTTTTCTGTGCATCATTTCCTTTGACTAACATAAACACCTTTCATTTTTCTAAAATTAGATTCTCGGGAGTATATGACATGACTTATTACTATGCATGCCTTAATAAATTAGGTATGTACCGCATCTTTTGCCATTGATCCAATGACGACTTACGATCGACGAGATTTAAATTTTACCGTCATTAATTTATTTTTAGGACTTGAGCACGTTCACGCCATGCCTCGAGTAATGGGTAAGTGTGTTGGTACGCGATTGAACAATTAGGTTGCATTGTGTGATATTAATCCCTCAAATTCCCATGCTTTACGATAGGGAATACCGCCGAATCTTTACGACAATGTTCGCCTGCACATTTAATCCACAATGTGTTGATGAGCACACAAAAGTACGAAAAGTTTAGGAAGCTATTACCAGAAAAGACGGTATTGATTCATGGCGCAAATGTAATTATTTGATAGATTTTTTTTTCGAGAGTTGGTCGCCATTCAAAAAAGCATCTAATGTATAATCATCATCATATAGGATACCTTCAATCCATCGATAACTGCGCGAAATTTTTATTATCTACTTAACTCTATGGGAGTATCAGTGCAATTCAAGATTTATAAAGATATCAAACACATTAGTCCTCGTATAGACTTGATTGCTCCTAGCAAGAAATTGTGTACGCTTTTATTGGACGACATCAGAGAATGCTGTCAGATGAGTGATGACCCAATAGTAAAGAAAAAAAGTTGGGATGAGCGAGAGGAGTGAACCATGCTTTACCATTTCATTTTACTTCATTCTATTCTATTTACGAAAAGAAAAGGCTTATTTTCTTTTTCAACAAAAAGTCTCAAACTAATATTCACTATTATAAATTATCCTTTAGTCTAATGTAGGTAATCATCTTATATATACCTCAAAAAATTACTTTAGTTCCGTTGGGATAACTCATATATACATATATTACCATCCTCACTTTATCACACCAATCAAGCAAAACCTTTTTTTAGCATATTGCATGTATAGAATTTATAAAATATTAAATGTATAATAAGTTAGAATTTTGGCTTTAATAAATTTTATATGTGAGTTGTTTGCTGGCGAACTCGGGTCCGGATGGCCGGGAAACAACTCATATCCTTCCAACAATGAAAAACTATCTGGTTTTTCCTAAAAAAAAAAAAAAAACTACCTCTACTATTTTAATATACGCAATCAATAATTTAATTTATCGACAAAAATCCGGGAATTTTAATGCTAATCAACATTGTATATTAATTAGTACTGTTTATATTTTTTTCACGAGCGCAGGCATAAAATGATCACGATATTAATTATGATATATTCGACACGAGGTTATATAACGATTACCGTTTGGAATCTCTTTTTTTTTTTCTTCAAAAAAAGCTCACACACAACTACTGTCGTATTTCCTTCCACCGTAGATCGCCAATGTTTTTGTCATATTTGACACTTCTGTTTTTCTTTTCCCTTGGGGGATTCGTATTTTCGGAATCATCGGGATCCCCTCAAAGAAATCAAATTCAAAGCCGAGGCTCCCGAACTCCTTCGCATCTTTATCCGTACATTCGACGTTCAACGGAGGTCGCTCCTCCCTACTCTCACTCATCTCCATCCTCGCGTCCCGGTGACGATCAAATATCCACGTCGACACCAATCAACGCAACCGTCACTATGCAAGCCATACTTACAATCTCTCAAGCAAACTCAACAACCAATTCGGATAAAGGGAATACAAACGATCGAGAAAATCTCAAGGAAACATTGGGAAATAGGAAGAAACAGCTTCATAAGAATAAACGTCCGGTGCTATATCCGGGAATAAAAAAAAAATGAGGCATCCGGCGTAAAAAAAATGAAAATTTAGCAGCAAGCTAAACATGCGCGTCGGAAAAATTAAAGTATTCCAAAAAATATCCCACATAATGGTTGTTTTATCTGTACATGTACATGTATGTAAAATTAAAAACGGAGTTTAATTCGATATGGCAATAAATATTTGTTGCAACCAAAGCATGCGAAAAATGTACGAATAAAGCTCGCGGGTGTCACTTGAAAACTTTTTTCTTTTTAAAAAAACAAGTGTGGTCTCAAAATAGTGCGCAACTTGTGCTGTTGTGATTCGAGATAAATAGGCTTTTCACTTATGTTGTCTATCTGTTCCAGGATGTTTCAAAACTACATCCCATATTCTTGCACAGAGTCAGTTTATCATAGTCTCCTTATTTCTTGACAAAAATACTATTGATGGTTTGGTAGTACAAAGAGCTTGGGCGAATTTATCCCAATTGATAAATACTTGATCTTGTTCTGCAGCTTGGGTAGCTTGTACTCAATTCAAGTATCAATGAAAAGCAGCTTCTTTGAGTCTAGTGATAGTATAATAGATATAGGTTTAGGTATTAACAATTTCTTGAGAAAAGAAATATTTAGACATTGTAGTATTCAGATAATAGCATTTTTATTAAGACTCCCTCATAAATAGAAATTTAAACTGATATCTTAAAAACAATAATGGCAGCAGGTAATTGTTAAATAAAAGCAAGTACAACAAGAGCATTCATAAAAGCAGTAAATTAATTGATATTTATTTTAACAAAGTTTTGTTTTTAGAGTACATTAAGTGGAAATATATATTGTTTATGATAGTTTATTGTTATCAAGTATAAAAGACTTTAAAATATTTATATTACTGTAAAGTTAGTAAACAAGTTATTATTAATCAAAAATAATATTAAGTTATCTTTATTTAAGTTAAAAGAGTGCTTATATTTATATTTATTTTTGATATATAAATAAACATAATAATAATATAAACTCTTTCCTTTGATTCTCAATTTTCTTTTTTAGTAATTTTTTGAAAAAAAAGAAACCAGTCTGAAAAACAAGAAAAATCATTCTTACAATCAAACAATTTACAAAAAACAAGTTCAAAAATTTCTTTATAGAGTATAAAAAAGGTAAGTTTTACAAAATCATTAACTTCTACTATAAAAAAATTTTTTTTAAAAAAAAGAAAAACAAAAAGAATTGAATCACAGTAAGCTCTTAAAAGTCAACATCAATCTTACAAAGCTCTTAACCAGATTAGTACAAGTTAATATCTTTCTAAATATCAAGAGAAGTTTCACAAGCAATAATTCAAACTGATAAATCAATTCAAGTTCAAATACTTATAAAACCTAAAAAAATATTCAAATATTATTGACTATATATTAAAAAAATACATACATCATAATAACAGTATTTAATAATACTATATTACACAAATATATATATGTACAATTTTTATAACAAGTTCAAAAAATATATTAAATAAATAATATTAATATACTTTTTTTTTAAAACTGCAACTAGTATTAGATATGTATGTGTTTATTAAGAATTTACTTAACATCAGGGATACTAAGATCCTAGGCATTGATATCAATCATCTTATACAAATTATATATTTTTATATATGCAGATTAATAATAACCTATTGTGACTTTCTAGGTGGACCTACTATCACTCAGAAAGTAGGCAGACTCAACTAGAGGCTGGATGGTCAAATACACAGTCATTAATGGTGAGACAGGCTAATCTAGTAGTGAGCTTTTATAAATTTTTATTATATTTGCTAAACTAGGCTATATAGTATGTATCTAATGAAATTAGTTTTACTCTTCAATACTCCTAGAAATATTATTTGCTCAGATCTCGGAAAGGGACATGTTACTTTCTTTGTCATCACCTGTCACATCAAATCAGTTTCATTTAACTAATTTTTATTTAAGCGAAATATCAGATTGGGTTATTCTGAGCAGAAGAGTGGTTTGTACTACAGAGTCTGTTGTGCCAGAGAGTTATGGGTTTTTATGGGAATTAAACCAGAAGCCTTTTCTCATACAACCTTTCCTGCTTCGACCTGATTTCAGACCACGATCATCAGAAAGATCAGAGGTCCCATATTTATGCAACCTAACTAAATTTGATAGAATCTGGATAATTGAACACGACTTTTACAGGATAACTGATAAACCTGATCAGAAGGGTAATTTTTATTTTTGATTCTTAAGTAATATTGAACTACAGATCTTATAATTGTGATCTGGAAGCACTACCACTGTACTATTGACCTACAGGTCAATATACTTTCGATATATTTATATAAATCAATTATTAACAATTCTATAATTTTATATATTTATTATTGGTTACTCAATAATAGTAACAATACTATTATAATATATACGTAAAATAAATACTATTAATATATCATAACAAATAATAAAATTTTTCTATATTACTAAAATAATAATAATAAATAAACAAATCTGTAACATATATCTAAGAAAACACAACCTGTAGATCAATAGCACAGTAGTAGCACACCCAGGTCACCAAGTACTGTTTTTGAGTTCAATAATATTATTAAACAGTACTACTTATGCCTAGGTGATACAGAAAAATCTTATATATCTCATAATAATAATTACTATCACTTTTAGTTAAGATTCTATATAATTATAGAATAATTAAAGATCACAAGATACTTCAATCAATTTTAGCATTAAAGTCACCTTATTACAAGACAGGTTTTATAAACTCTTGCAGATAGACTAAAGATCTATATAGCTATAAAACAAGAAAACTAGCAAAGCTTAGGCACATTAGTTGAAAGAGGGTCTCTATCAAATCGACATTTATTCAAGACTATATATAGTTATTCCATGGATAGATTATAATAAGTCATGTAAAAAAAAATGATCAATAGAATGAGATAATATTTAAAACTTCACATAGGCATTTAATAAGTATACTATAATAAGTACTGTAAAAAAAATATTTGGTAGAATAAGATATAAAAAGAATCCTGTATTATAGACTCAAGTACCTATAAAAATAAGGAATATGAAAGGATAATATAAATGTAGGTAATAAGGTAATAAGGCTTCTTCTAGCAACAAGCCACATGGGTAGGATTAATGATAGGTTTCTAAAGTATTTAGTATATAAAATTTTGTAGATTACTTATATCACTTTTTGAGAGACAAAATTCATAGCTCTTCACTTTGATAAAAACAAAAATCAAAAGATACTATAAATTAATGATTTGGATAATGAAGAACAAATGTGAGTAGTTTTTTTGTAGTTATTAATTTAAAATTTTTAATGTTTCCTAGTGAGAACCATTTGACTTTTGTCCCTGCCTCCTTCTTTAGAAACCCATCTTTAGATAGGACTATTCGCAAATAGATATATTAATAGTTGACTCATGTAAAATAGATTCTATTAAATAGATCTAATGTATAAGTAATTACTATGTATATAGAAAGATTTATTATATGGTTGTAACCATAACTTCAATATCATTGAACTTCATTAATTCTTTAATAAAATAAAAAAATCTAAGAAAACATAGTAATAATCAATAATTTATCAAATTTAATTAAATTTAATAATAAAAATATCACCAAATTCTTTTTTATTACTTCTACTCAGCATATTATTATTTTAGCAATAAAGTGATAATCAAAAATTTGATAATCAAAAATTCAACAATCAAAAAATATAATAATCAAAAATTTATTAATTAAAGTTTAACAATAAATTGTTAAAAAATTCATAACAATTTATCAAATAATTTATTAATTATTTAGCAAAAATTTATTAAAGTTTATTACAAAATTATTTATTAATAATTTAATAAAAATTTGATATTAATTTATTAATAATTTATCAATTAATCATTAAAAATTTAGCAA